CCGGGAGCGCTCCCGAGATGTAGCGGGGAGGTGTGGGACCCGGGGCCGGGGGGGCGGTCCTCATATATATTATATATATATATATATATATATATATATATATATATATATATATATATATATATATATATATATATATATATATATATCTATATATATATATAAATCATACGAACCTCTCCGAGGGAGTAGTTCAGAGGCGATTAATGCGTACGCGCCGCGTCGTTCGCAATGTTTCTGGCCGCTTCGCTAGGGACATCCTCGAAATTCTAAAAATCGGTGGCACCCCTCACACAGATCGTGACGTCAGGGTCCAAAAACACATTGGAATTTCAACATTTTAACATGAAACCTTCAAACACACATTGTGAGTTCAATGATTTTGACCCCGATTCTCAGAGAATGGCGGTTTCGCCTGAGACATCCTCCCAAAATCGAGCCCCGACATACATTTTGGCACCCCAGACCCCGCCGCAGAGCCTCCTGGGGGCCTCCTGGAACCTCCTGGGGCCTCCTGGGGCCTCCTGCGGCCTACTGGAGCCTCTTGGGACCTCCTGGAGCCTCCCGGGGTCTCCTGGGGCCTCCTGAGGCCGCCTGGGGCCTCCTGAGGCCTCCTGGGGCCTCAGAACTACATGCACACAAACACACACACACACACACAGACACAAATCACACCCAACACATCACACGCTAGACAAATATAACACACACACACACACACAATACCTACAACGCACAGAAAACACGCACAACACAGAGCACACATCACACACACACACAACACTCACAATCCTGGGGCCTCCTGGAGCTTTTTCCGGTATCCAAGTCGGGCCTCCTGAGACTTCCTGTGGGGCCCTGGTACACACACCGCAAGGTTGGCAACCCCACTTGCGCTCGAGTGCGACCTCGCTATTGCATTTCACTCCCAGCAGCTATCCTCCTCCTCTCCTCCTCCTTCTCTTTCCCTCCACAAATTCTCTGGTGAAACAAATCGGCCGGTGGGACATCCTGAGACATCCTCGCAACGCTGACCTCGGAGAGGCATTGCCCTCGTCGATCCCCCTGCTCGATCCCCAATCCCTTGGGGGCGCTCTTACTCGATCTTACATTCTTCTGCGTTCACCTCCTGCCTCTTCCCCTTCTCTTAGGCACGCCCTGGCGGCGCCGCCCAAGCTTCCCCTTCTCCATATCCGATCCCGCCGTCATGGTGTCTTCCTGCTTCAAACGCCCTTTCAGTTCTTTGTTGTATGAGCCTGGGCACACACGTGCAACTTGTATATTTATATATATATATATATACTAGAACCCTCGCGCACGCTTCGCGCGCGCTCAGGTTCTAGCACAGGCTGGGGGGGCGCTGGACGATCTTGGACAACGCTATCAAGCACAGGCGCGCAACGGCATCTGAGGAGCTTCTGGGATGTTCCGCATGCTTCGCCAACTGGCTGTTGAAGGCACCTCTTGGGTGCCTCTTGGGGGGGCGTCTGAGGGTCCCTTGGGGGCATCGGTTCTGCAATCTGAAACCGTCATTGGCCGTCTTGGCTGCGTGGAGGCCCGACTTGAGGCCACCTGCGGCCAGATTGAGGCAATCCGGAAGCCTCCCGCGGGCCTCCTGGAAGCAGTTTTGACGCATCGAGGGCTCTTGGACGTCTCCTAGGAGCCTTTGGGGCCCTCGGGAAGCTTTTGGGGTCCTCTTGCGGCCTCCTGCGGGCCTTTTGGGGGGAACGCTCTGCTGCTGGGTCGCGTTCCCCTTCTTGGGCCTCTCTTGGGGTTTTTGGGGCCCTCTCGGGCCGTCTTTGGCGCCTCAAGCACCGTCTGGGGGCCCTCGCGGGCCGTCTTGGGGCCCTCTTGGAGGCCTCTTCCTCTATATTGGAGCGGTATTGGAAGCCTCTTGGGCCGTCTTGGAGCATCCGGATGCCAAAAGGCAGAAAATATTAAAACCCGTCAAAGCCCAGTCATAAAACAATGAGTTGTGCCTCTTGGGGCCACCTTGGGAGATTTCTTGGAACCTCGTCGGCCCTCTTGGGAGCTTCTTGGGGGCCTCTTGGATCCGATTGGGGGCCTCTTGGGACTTCCCGAAAACCTCTCGGGGTAGAAAGCTCGGATTCTCAGTTCGTGTTTCCCTTCTTGGGCCTCTCTTGGGGCCGTCTTGGGCCCTCTCGGGCCTTCTTGGGCGCCTCAGGCACCGCCTTGGGGCCCTCGTGGGCCGCCCAGGGCCCTCTTGGAAGCCTCTTCGGCTATCTTGGAGCTGTCTTGGAGGCCTCTTCCTCCTCCTCGTCCCCCTCCTCCTCCTCCCACTCCAGCTCTCTCTCCTCCTGATCTTCCTCCTCCTCCTGCAGCGTGTTCCGGAAGGCTCCCGCCGGAACATGCTGTGCACAAGTGCTGTCACTGCTCCCGCCACAGTGCCCTGGGTGGTGGGTCAGAGGCCTCATGGGTGTTGGTTTGGATCTCGTGGTTGGCCTGTCGGGGACGTCGTGAAGGCAGTTTCGCAGCTTCTCGGTAGCCGTTTTGGGACCGTTGTGGGGCCTCCTCGGGGCTGTTTTGTAGCCTCTTTAGGCCTCGTTTGGGCCTCCTGGGTGCCTCTTGGGGGCCTCCTGGGGCCTCTTGGGGGCTCCTTGGGGCCTCCTGGGGCACTCTTCAAGCGGGAGGGTCGAATTTTGGAGTCGTGGTCCCCCTCTTGGGCGCATCTTGGGGCCGTCTTGGGGCTCTGTTGGGCTGTCTTGGGCGACTCTGGGGCCGTCTTGGGGCCCTCTTGGGCCGTCTTGGGGCGCTCTTGGGGGCCTATTGAGCCGTCTTGGAACGTCGGACAGCCGAAAGGCTGGAAGGCCAAAATCGTTCGAGAAACTGCGTAAAACTGACGATTTCGGCCTCTTGAAGCGCTCTGGAGAGGCGTCTGGAAGCGTCGTGGAGTGCCTTGGGGGGCCTCTCGGGCCGTCTTGGGCCTATCTTGGGCGTCCTGGAGCGGTCTTTCGGCGACTCGGGGCCCGGTTGGGCCGTCTTGGGAGCCTCTGGAGGCCCTCCTGGACTGTTTTGGACCTCCCCAGCCGCCCCGTCCTCCCACGGGGGGTCGGAGGCGGCGGCCTCCGAGGCCCAGGACGCGAAAACCCTGTTAAAACATAGGGAAAATGAGCCCCGGTGCTCCCATGCCCTGTCGGGGCAGCGGCCCCGGGCGCCCGGGCGTCGTGCACAAGGATACAAGTGGCACGTGTGTGCCCAGGCTCATACAACAAGCTGAAGGGGCGTTTGAAGCAGGAGTGACATGCAACAGCGAAGTCGCACTCGAGCGCAAGTGGGGTTGCCACACCTTGCGATGTGTGTACCAGGGCCCCCCAGGAAGCCTCAGGAGGCCCGACTTGGATACCAGGAGAGGCTCCAGGAGGCCCCAGGATTGTGAGTGTTGTGTGTGTGTGATGTGTGCTTTGTGTGGTGCGTGCTTTTTGCGTGTTGTCGGTGTTGTGTGTGTGTATGTTATGTTTGTCTAGCGTGTGATGTGTTGGGCGTGATTTGTGTCTCTGTGTGTGCATGTAGTTCTGAAGCCCCAGGAGGCCCCAGGAGGCCCCAGGCGGCCTCAGCAGGCCCAGGAGAACTCCAGGAGGCTCCGAGGCGGGGTCTGGGGTACCAGAAGGTCCAGAAAGCCCCAGGAGGCCCCAGGAGGTTCCAGGAGGCCCCCAGGAGGCTCCGAGGAGGGGTCTGGGGCTCGATTTTGGGAGGATGTCTCAGGCGAAACCGCCATTCTCTGAGAATCGGAGTCAAAATCATTGAAATTACCATGTGTTTTTGAAGGTTTTATGATAAAATGTTGAAAATCCTATGTGTTTTTGGACCTCTCCTTCACGATCTGCGTGAGGGGTGCCACCGATTTTCAGAATTTTGAGGATGTCCCTAGCGAAACGGCCGGGAAAATCGAAGACGCACGCACGCACGGACGCACGGACGCATTAATCCCCTCTGAGCTCTACTCCCTCGGAGAGGTGCGTATGAGAATATATATATATATATATATATATTATATATATATATATATATATATATTCCCTATATTTCCCTTTTCTATATTTTTAGAATCCGTGGGGGTGGGAACCCTCCCCCCCCCGGAAAATCAGCCCCCCGGATCTGGCGCTTTTGGGGCCCCCTGGACGCCTTGCAAGGGGTCCCTCGGGCCTTCCGGGCCTCCTGGACGCCCCTGCCGGGCCTTGCCAGCGGGCCCAAAGCGGTCACGAGGGCGGCCAAACGGCCCCGCGAGAGCCCCACGCGGCCCCAGACAGCCCCAAGACGCCCGAAGACGACCCAAAAAAGACCCCCAAGAGGTCCTCCAAGTGCAAAAAAAAAAAAAAACACTTTCCTTTCGTTTTTTTATTGAATTTTTGGACATTCGGTTCTTCGGTATTCCGTGCGTCCGAGTCCGCCGAAGAGGCCCCAAAAATCCTCCCACAACGGTGTCAAAGGGCTTCCAGACAGTCCAAAAGAGCCCCAATATGGTCCAACAGGGCCGCAAGATGGCCCCAAGAGGGCCCCGCTGACAGCCCCAGATGGCCCCAAGACGCCTCCTGAAGCACTCCAAATCGTGACCCGGTCGTTCAGGGAGACCGTGGTTGGTAGCAAGGTGGCCGCAAGAAGCCCCCAGAGGCCCCCAAAGGCGCCCAGGAGGCCCCCAGAGGTCCCCAAAAAGCTTTTGAGAGGGGCCCAAGAACACCTCCAAAGAGGAGCCCCTGCAATTAAAACTGGGGATGAGGACAAGGAGTGGCTCGCAGACAAGGAAGATTACGAGTAGGAGGAGAGGAAGTATAAGGATAGTACATAACATTACTATAACGACGATGGCGCAAACGGCAACAATGAATCATCGCTATATTTGGTTATCCTGCATGCCGAGCTTTAAGAACCAAGGTGCATGGCGCAAAGCGCCAATGCAGTCTTGTACATATATATATATATATATATATATATATATATACCCGGGCGGGTGGGGGACGCAAAGCCTCTCGACCCCCTCGTGTCGCCTGTGGCAGCCGCGCCTCCAGTGCCGCCCGCGGCGGGACCGACAGGCGTCGGGCTGGGCGTCGGGCTGGGCGTCGGGCTGGGCGTCGGGCTGGGCGTCGGGCTGGGCGTCGGGTTCGGCGACAGGTTCGGCGTCGGGTTCGGCGTCGGGTTCGGCGTCGGGCTGGACGTCGGGCTCGGAGTGGGAACGCCGCTTGTGATCACCATATCGTCGACCTTCATGTTAATCCGGGACGAGCAGCTCGATCCGCCGCTCCAGCAGTGGCGGTTGAAGTGGAGCTCCCGGCCGCAGATCGAGCCAACCGCAGCAGTGTGGATTGCTCCATCGAAGTCGAGGGTCCAGGTGGAGGTGCTGCACGGATCGGAGGTCGAAAGCTTGACAGTGTGCCAGGCGCTGTTCCACACGCTGCCCGCGCCCAGCACAGTGGCAGAGGAGGGTCCGAATGTGATTGCCGATTGACCGGAGTGGCCGTGCGATTTCCACAGCAGGGTCACCGAATCAGTCGTGTCGCTTGTCGACGTAAAGCAGAGGAGCCACTCGCCGTGGTAGTATCCTTGGCTCACCAGCGCGAGGTGGAACGAGATCTCGAAGTACTGACCTGACACCTCCGCGCTGTTTATCACTGGGCCTTTCAGCCACGAGTTTGAGCTGTACGCAAAAACTCCTGAAGCGGCGTTAAGATACACTGCCTGTCCGACTACGCCTGCTGCATACGTGGGGCTCCACGAGCTCCCAGACGCAAAGTTTCGCCCATTCCCCGAAGTGTCCGAAAGAGAATTCTCGAAACCGTACTGCGCCCACGTTGCCGATCCCACGTTGTTGGAAACATTTGTCAACGCCTTGAGCGATGCTGCTTCATACGTGATGCTGCAGACAAGTAGCAAAGACGAGCATACAGTCCAGCGTGCCTGCCAGTATGCCATCAGACCACTTAGCGGAGCGAATGGAGACCACTCGCGTAGTGGACGGCTGCGGATAGGAAATAGTAGCGAGAACCGCTGCGGGAGAAAGTTGCAAGATGTACAGTATCTGGACTGGCTGGTCCCTAGGCCGAAATGGGAAGAAACCGACGTCGATGAAGACGAAGACAAAGATGAAGACAAAGATGAAGATGAAGATGAAGATGAAGATGAAGATGAAGATGAAGATGAAGATGAGGATGAAGATGAAGATGAAGATGAAGATGAAGATGATGATGATGATGATGATGATGATGATGATGATGATGATTATGATGATGATGGTCATGCTAATGCTGATGTTGATGATGCTGGTGACTATGGTGATGATGGTGATGATGATGATGATGACGGTGATGATGATGATGATGATGATGATGATCATGATGATGATAATGATGACGCTGATCATGATGATGATGATGCTCATAATAATAGTGATGGTGATGATGACGGTGGTGGTGGTGGTGATGGTGATGGTGATGGTGATGGTGATGGTGATGGTGATGGTGATGGTGATGGTGATGGTGATGGCGATGGTGATGGTGATGGCGATGGCGATGGTGATGGTGATGGTGATGATGGAGGTGATGTTTATAATGATGATGATGATGCTGATGATGACGACGATGGCAACGATGATGATGATGATGATAATGATTATAATCATGATCTTGATGATGAAACTGACGATGATGATGATGATAACCATGATGATGTCGACGACGGCGACGACGATGGTGATGATGATGATAATGTTGATGTTGATGCCAATGCTGATGATGATTCTGATGATGACGCTGATGATGGTGATGCTGATGATGATGGTGTTGATATAACGGATGGTGGTGATGCTGATGCTGATGAATTGTGGCGTTGCTGATGAACGCTGATGCAATGATGATAATCATGGTGTTGATGATGATGATGACGATGATTGTGTTGTTGATGCTGGTGGTGCTGATGATGACAATGGTGATGCTGCCGATGTTGATGATCATGATGATAACGATGATAAAAATGATGACTATGGGTGATGTGGCGATGATGATACTAGTGATGATTATGATGATGCTAATGATGATAAGATGGTGAGGGTGGTGGTGGTGATGGTGGTGATGATGATGATGATGATGATGATGATGATGAGAGGCAGTAACGTTCCTTTGAAATGCGACTCCACTGCCTGCCTGCCCGAGCATGCCCGACTCCGCTTCGTGCGCACCAGCCTCCTCGCGGAGATAGGCGCGCGACAGCCCAGAGGGCAAACACAGAGAGGGGATCCTCCGGGGGAGGGGGCGGGCGCGGCCCTCTGGCAGGAATCCTCGCCCGATCCCGACTCCACCCCACGCCAACACACGGCGCACGCAAGCGGCAGCGGGGCTGAGGGAGAGAGGCTGAGATCCCGAGCCCTAAAAGAGGCTACGCTTAGGTCGGCCATGTCCTCCTACAGGCGGATACTGGACGAAAAACCAAAAATAGTGATTAAAAAATGCCTCAACCAATACTCCAAAATAGTCCAAAAAAACATCGCCCCCTGACTATTTTTGGACTACTTTTGAACATCCCTCCTGTAGTGGGGCACGCTCGACTTAGGGCCACGCATGCCCGCCCACCCGCGGCGCCCCTCGCGGCGCTCCCCGCGACGCTCCCCGCGGCGCTCCCCGTGACGCTCCCCGCGGGGCTCGGCCCTCCGCGGCGCTCCCCGTGACGCCCCTCGGGCACGTGCCGGCAGGGGTGCCTGGAGGCGCCGAGGCCCGGGGGGGCACGGCCGCGCACTGGGGCATCCCCAGCCGCCGCAGTCCTGGTGGGGAGGAGGAGGGGGAGGGAGGAGGAGGAGGAGGAGGAGGAGGAGGAGGAGGAGGAGGAGGAG